GAGAGCCAACAAATACTCTGAGAACTGAAACAAGTTCTCCACCAAATAAAAACTGGACTGTGGATGCAGTCAGACTCTAACCAGTTCGAAAGTACCAGAACAAACTTTAGATGAACAAACAAAAAACAAGAGCTAAAAATTTTGAAATGTCGAGCAAACTCCATATTCCTCCATCTACAATTCTAACCGACAGATACAAGATGATACACCATCTTTACAGTTGCCAAAACTGCCCAAAGGCGCATGCATTGTAGGTGCACTATTCCAACAGTCCCTATTGACTCCATCAAGTCAACATACGATCTATCACCTCCAAATCCAACGGTAGATTGAGGGATGGATCCCAAAACATAAGATTCAAAATCAGCTTCAATCTTCAACGAACAACAACAATCACACTGCTTCCATAGAAGCAAACACACAGAGTCTGAATCGTCACTCAAATTGCTAATAGTAGATGTCTTTGAATATGGAACAGATTGCAAAAATGACAATCACAAGAGGAAGAAACGATCAAGTCTCATGAACCAATAAAACCAATGGATCTAATCAAACACAATCATAGATCCCAAATGTGATAGTGAATCTCAACAAAACACGACTTCAAAAAAGTCACCAATAATCCATGAAAGACCGCCAAAACAATGTCTCCAATAGACATTGCAAAAAAGAACGCCAAAGCTCCACCAAGATTTGAAGTAGATTTCCACAACTTCTCCTTCAAATTGACAAATGCGGACACCAAGGCTTCACCATATGCAGGTATTTCAACAATGATCCATGAAGGATCTCTAACACCGCCACAGAGGCTAATGCCAATAAAGTACTACTATTTGGACTTCTCATACATGCCAAATCTTCATAGTACATTGCCAATACCGGTTCTCTCTACCTCCCAGAGAGATCCTAATGAACTATGAAGTTCTACAACTGACCCGAGAGTCTCCAAATGAAATGAGAACTTCTAACTCTAAAGGGTCTTCAAATTGGCTTCAAATGCGTGAACAGAATTTATCACCCCAATTACCTATATGGGTGATACAATGCCGTTGTACAAACACGCCTCCATTCCATCAAGCATTTGGAGTGACACTACACCTCCTGCTTGAAATGTCTTCAACCGCCATATATAATCCTGCATGAATCCTATCTCTATCACGAGGTACTTGCATCATCCAATAGAATACATACGGTTTCCCTATTGAGGTGACTCCACCTAAACTCTCTGGATGCCCATCGTGACTTCATTTCCACGAACCAAATTCAAGACAAAGCAAGAGATCTGCCTCTCATTGGGTGTGCACTACCGCGTCTTATCCATCTTAATTTCACTGTCTGGAGCTTTCTTTTGTGAACTGGTTGCTGCTTCCAGGCCAAAATCCTACACATTGCACTCTGTACAACTCTGTTGCATACTCTTGCACTGTTGTACATTTGCACCTTGTATGATACTCTTACGTACCCATCTATGCTCTCGTAGCTATGTGCTCTCATGCCTTGTGCGTGCACTTCTGCAGTTGTTGCTCTTCCACGTTCAAATACCACTAGTACTACTTCTATTCTTGTTTGATAGTAGCTCCAACTGCCATAACATTCTCCTAAGCCTGTATTAGTTGCCAATTATCTGTCTGCCGATGAAGTGATCTTCTCTTGATTGAACTAGATCTCCTGATCACCTAGACTCAATAACCAAGAAAGTTTCCAAGAAAGACTGATGGGGTCACAATTGGTCCTACTTAAGAGCTAGTCTCTTTAGACAGTATAGGTGTCTTTTTGACAGAATTTTCCTAGGCATTGTTGATCTTGAGATAATCATGTGCACTCCTTTAATCGCCCCTGACCAATCATGATCTCCCTTAATCTGCCACTTGATCAAGCATGATCTCCTTTGGTCTCCAATGATCTATCTCCTAATCTACATCTGTCTGTCCAATCTGATCAGAATCTCACCATTTTGATCTCTTCAGTGAATTCGTAGCATTTCACAACATCCGACAACCTCCTTCTAGTTGTTGAAGATGACAAACTCACACTTTTGGAAATCTTTAAAAACTATTCAGAATTTCACTATTCTAACACTGCGGTTATGTCTGGAATGGTCCATTTAGCTAGGACCATCGATGCATTTCCAGGGGGCTCACTGAAAATACTCCCCAAAACCTAGGGAAAAATTGTAATTTATGAAAAAATTGGGCCCTCCTACAATTTCTAGAACCACCAGGGAATATTCAATTTTCTCTTAGAATATTCCTTCTGCTGACATCATCTTCGTGTTAGCATTACGTCAGCTTATTGTGTCAGCGATGACATTATCTTTGCATCATGCTAACATCATCACCCCATGGACCCTTCTTGGGCCAGATCTGGGTCGGGTACCATCTGGACTAGATTCGGGTGACGTTATCCGGGTCGGATCTGCATTGGGTCCCTCCTAGACTGGATATGCTTACGTCATCTGTTATGTCAATGCTGTGTCATCCTCTATAAAAAAATATTTTCCAGAATGAAGCCTGGTTGTTTTGAACCCTTGACCTCAGACCTTGCCTATGTCTAGAGAATACAGTCATGCACCAAACAACCCACACACATAAAGAAGACAAACAAATTTAACGTGGTTCAGCTCAATGCCTACGTTCACGGGAGAGTAACCAAATTTCACTATAGATGGAGAAAATACAAAGATTACAATAGAGGAGAAGAAAGCACATATCCTCACTCAACTCACCCTCTCACACCGAGGGAGCACCCTCTCTCACACAGAGGGCCAATCTCTCTTAGTCTCTCATTTTGCTCTTTTGGTTTCCCCACAAACACAATCACCCTATAATAGGATAGCTCAACTGAAGATCTCCAGCTCAAATCTACAGTTGCTAGATTTGTGAAGAATACGAAGGAATTAGGAAAGTGGTCAAACAGGAGACATGGATGATATTCAGAAATCATGGCTTGTTGAGAAAATCATAGCCTATTAAGGAAATCCTGAGTTTAGATTACCTCTCTCTCTCTCTCTCTCATGTAGTTGAGCTTATAAATAAGCCAAGAGAGATACAAAGAAGATATCCAACACAACTCACACAACATGAATTCTTGGAGTAGTTTCTATCTAGGAGTAGTCACTCTGCATTTTAGGAGTAGATCAGTGATAACTTGTTACTATTACTCTGTCGATCAGTGTATTTCTCGAATGTTTGTTCTCGTTTAAGTTCATGTGATTTGTGGCAAGTGACAATTTCATTTGATTAACACAAATTCAATTCATTTGTTTCTCTATATTTCTTCTTTACTTAATTGCCTCCAAAGAAACCCTTAATCAGTTTAAGGAATAGAACTCAACCACAAGCTTGATCTGTTTTGTTTTGTAAAAACTGAATTTTGTCTGTTGATTGGCTTCTATCGATTGACCTTAATTAAATTTTGGCTAACAACACTCTAATTTGAGCTTCTTATACTCCGTTCCCCCCCCTCTCATAAGGGATGTGTACCCCCTCCCCCTCCCCTCTCATAAGGGATGTGTGAGAGATTAAAAGTAGTTTGTGAACATAATTGTTCTTGAAAATTGATGAAAGTTAGAAATTTGTTGGACCAATATTACTCTTATCTTGGATTAGCATTCCTGAATAATGGAGGAAATTTATTTCTAGATATTGTATTTTATATTTTCCTTTCGAAACCCTTGAATTTGTTTAGAATTATATAATAAAACAACTTTAGGTTAATCATCCACTTTCATTTATTTCTTTTTTCTTAAGAACCTCCACCCTAGATGAAGTATGCTTTAATTATTAAATCAATTGTTTATTTGTAATGTTTTACTCACTCTGGTTGTTAAGATTTAATATGATATTTTGTATATTCACTAAAAAGTCTCAAGGTCTTAAGTGATCCTTTCCAATGTTAGATACACCCTTTTATTTCTCATATAGTATTCATGTCTATTAGATATGAGAAGAATATGGGTGTTGGATATATGTCCAACACCTGTATCCAATTTAAACACTTGTATCCTCTAATTTTATATGAAGTTTGAAGAGGAAGAAACTCACATTTGCTAGTATATATATATATATTGCCTACTCACACATGGTTGAGAGACAGAAATCCTATATATATATATATATATCTTACTTAATTTCAAATATATTTCTAAATAATTTACTCATATCATCTAATAAATTTATATAATATGAATATAGATATAGATGTGTATGTTAGGTGTCCCCATAACTTTTGAATATATATCTCAATATCTTAAGATTTAAGATTTAAAAAGTCTCGTACTTGTCTAGGCATCAACAACCCATACTCGTACTCAGTCATGTAACGTAGATGCTGTTATTATAAATAGATCTTATAGCTTATATATGATAGCATATTAGTTGGAAAGCAAACAGAAGAGTGAATTTTTTGTTCCACTTGAGGTGTACTATCATTAATTAGGCATTAAAATATTAGTTTTAATATTCACAATTCACAAGTGAAATAGTAAAAGCTCAAGAATAAATAACCCTATACAATGAATTCTAATTTTGTTAATTTCAAAAACTATGTATGGATCATAAATTTGTATAGGGATTTTAAAGAGAAAGAGAAAAAGTATGTGACATGTAACTATATGTTATTCATATTTCACCCAACATTTCTCTTTTCTTTTCCAAATTCCTACCTAAATTCATGATCAAAACACAATTTAAGAGAAACTTTCACACTTTAGAAAGAAGGAACTTTTGATCTTTCAAAGTTTATAATTGAATGGAAGAAATTTTTTTGTAAAATGTACTTCAGATATATTAATTTGATACTTCTTTTAATTGCAAATTTAGTAGTATAGTACACAAAATTTAAATTTTTGGAAAAATCATGGTTTGATAGTTTTAAAATACTTATTTCTCAATTGTCTGGAGCTTGTTTTCCTTTTTGGATACTTGGACATTAAAATGTGGCTTACGCACTTAATGGAAGAAAAAGAGAGAAAAACAAAAGTTTTCATATAAACAACATACCTTTTCAATTAGGTGCAGTATGGTTTGATTAAGGTCACTTATCCATAGCCAGTCTTCTTCTTTTACGCCTATAAACCGCGCGTACTTTTGGTCCTTCACAAATACACGTTGCAACTTTGGGGTGCATATGACTCCAGGAGAGAAGGTCTTCAATTTAGGGCATTTAAGGATAGTGATGTGTTCTACCAAAGGCAATTCCCAATCATGAGTAACGTGGCAAAAACTCTTGAGCTCTGGTAGATCTTTGAGTTCCAAATACTCCAATTTAGGCAATGGAGTTCTGTTTATCCTTCCTCCTTCTTCTTCCTCCGTTGCAACTACTTCTTCCATCATCGAGCATCTAATTATGACTAGCCTTTTTAGATGCACAAGATGTCTGGCCATAAAAGGAGAGAACATATTTCTCAAACTGTCACAATCTGAGACATCCAGGCTAAATAGTTTGTTGAACGAGCCGGTCTGAAGTTGATTGCACCATATTTCGTTCATGTTCCGAAATCTATCCAGTTTCAATTCCTCCAAGCTAGGGAATGCAACCTGCAAACCAAACAATTGCATTAACAACCATACTATAAAAGTAATATAAAATGTTTAAAAAGGAGATTTACTGCTCTAGTGTCATTAGAGCATTCAACTTCATTGAAGAGACTTCGTCCTGGGTTCTGGATGTGTTCAAATGATGTCGCCACAGTAGTAGTCACTTTGGGGAAGATACTCACAAGGTTTTGCAGATCATAAAGTTGCAGAATTTTCAATCGAGTTAACTTAATATTATCGACCAAAATTTCACCCTGGCTATCCTCCTCCCTAACAATTGCTGATATCATTTTACATCCCCTTATTTCCAATTCTTGGAGTTGTAGGATACATTGCGTCATGGACTGTGTGAATAGAAATCTCAAGTTGTCACAACCATCAATATCTAGAATACTTAATTGTGGAATGTGCATCAATCCAATGGGATCTCACTCTGAAATATGGTTCAATTGGGATATAATTTGAGAGATTTCAATAATGAGAATATCTTTGAGTCGTGTTCCATACAGTCAGCCACTTCCAATTCAAACACTTTCTCTAGCAAACTACAATCCTCAATAGATAGTTTTTCAAGATTTTGCAGCCTCGTAAGCAATTGTGCTTGAAAAACTTTGGGCAATTTGCCGCAGTGTTGTATATATACATAGCTAAGTTTGGACAAGGACATCGATGAAGGTGGACAGTGTCCCATCCCTTCCAGATTGTCAAGATGCTCAAGTTCTAGCACCTTCAAAGTGGGGAATACTGTAAGAATCCTGAAAACTTTTCTGTATATTCAATTGTATTCAAGATTACAATCAGACCTTAGATTATATAGCCCTAAATCCTAAACCAAAAAGGAAAACACAAACTTTTCTGTATATTCAATTGTATTCAAGATTACAATCAGACCTTAGATTATATAGCCCTAAATCCTAAACCAAAAAGGAAAACACAAATACAATTATAATTATGTCTCTAACAGGATTCTAACACAATCATGCCTCTAATAGGACTCTAATTTGTAAAACACAGAATAATAAACACAGGATAATATATTCTATATTCTCACAAATACAACTTAAAAAGAATTCATTCTTTTAGTTGTAGTATAATGATAGTAGGAATGGTTATAAGATATATACCTCTCTGTACTTTGTATGTGTTACCTAGAACATTTTTTAACCTTGAATTTCAAATTATTGGAATAAGATATGGTTGCCTATTTCATTTTGTTACTTGAACCAAAAAAAAAAAAAAAAATCATGCAAATCATTGTAAAAGGTAAGTAGCTTTGGTTTCACTAGCATTCTACTTCTTCATTTTACCTTCTCATTGAATAGAGTTCGCATGACATTTTGGACGCGTTCCGTTGATGTAGCCGAAGTAGCAATCACTTTGGGGAAGAAACTCTCAAGGTTCGGTAGATCATAAAGTTGCAAAATTTTCAATTGAGTGAACTCAATTTTATCCACCGAGCTTTTGCCCTGCCCTTTCTCATCTGCAACAATCCTTGACATCATTTTACATTTACGTATGTCCAATTCTTGGAGTTGTAACATACACTTCATCGTGGAATGTGGGAATAGATATCTCAATTTATTACAGTCATGAACACGTAGGATACTTAATTGTGAAATGTACTTAAATCCAATGGGATCTCTCTTTGAAAAGGAACCCACTGAGATTGGAATGTGTTCTAGCCCTTCCAGATTGTCAAGATCGTTGAGTTCTAGTCGCTCCAAGCTAGGTAGTGAAACCTGAAAATAAAACTTTTGTCAGTGGTAGTTATAACATTTGTAGGAATGGTTATGGATATCACTCATCTCTGTCTCTCCTCTTGTAGTCTGCATATATGACCAATAATTTTTGCAACCAAAACGTTTAAATGAATGAAATAAGAAATGATTTCCTTTTTTTTCATTTGGTAATTGAGAAGAAAAAATAAATAAATAAATAAAAATACTAATCCTTGACAATGAAAAGAGAAAGAAGAGAAACAAATGATTGTGTCGTTCAACTAAAGAAACTAACTATAGAATAAGCTACGTTTAATAGTAAAATTTCCATCCATGACCAAATGACAAAACATTTCTAAAGATCTTAGCTCATTTCTAAACATAGTGAGTGGCAGGGACAGATTTAGGATTTGAGTTTTGGAGGGGGGAAACACATGTAACTTTTCATCGAAAAAATTATTATAAAATTTTACATTTTGATTTATACCAGCACAATAAATAAATAATATTACTATTAATGGGGCATTCTTTGTTAACTTAATTGAGAATAAAAATATAGTTAGAAATATTTCTTGTTTGCATTAATTTAACAAAATCTTAACTGTTACTATGTCTCCATCTAGTAAAGTTAACTATTTGAAAATGTTGTGTTAGGTTTTTGTATTTGACAATCTTGTTTGACAAAATTCCTTTCAGTTGTAATTTTATTCAATTTTTTATTTCAGTGGGGCTATGAGTATTTAGATGCGAATCCAACTTGAATTGTGCCTATACAGAGGAGTTTGTGAGCTTAATCCTTTCGTGTTTGCCACTTCACTGATTAAGTACGGGGATCGAGCTGAACTTCTGGGAAGAAAGTTTCACCGCTTGGGAAGAAAGTTCCACCGCTTGAGCAGTGAAAGTTGCGCTCGAGCGATCAGCCTATATGTTTCGCACCACCTTTAGTCACACTGCTCGAGCAGTGAAATGTGCGCTCGAGCGGTCTGCGCGATTCAGTTTACTATAACGTGCACAATTTGTTGTTCTAGGATTTGAGCTGCCCAGATTTTCAGAGAGGAAGAAAAAACAAAGTGTTTTATATTGAAGGCTATTTTATATAAGTTTCCTTGGTGTATAGAAAGTGATTGATCAACGAATTTCAGATTGCCGATCATCAAGGGTGGTTATTATTGTTTCATTTACAAAAGAGAGTTATTCTTCAGAGGATTTTAGGGAACTTGAGCTTGAAGCTTTGGTGGATTCTGGAGCGGCTCATTGTCAACATCAACGTTGTGGATTCAACGTTAGACAAGACAATTCCAAGGTAAAGACAGTGGTGGAAGAGGCACATTGGGGTCGGTTCAATTTGGGCGTGGATTCACTAGGTAATTGAGAGTACACTTATGTAATTCCTTTTTGTCTTCTTAGTGGATTGTTTTGTGGTTTTAGCCCGTGATTTTTTTTTTTATCACAATTGGAGACTCCGATTGCAATTTTTCCACGTTAAATCGCTCTGTCAATTTGTCTTTGATTATTTGATTAGGATTATAATTCGTTATTTAAAATTGAAACATAATTACAAATCAATATCTTGGGGGACTTTTAGAATTTTTCATGTTGTAATCACCACTTTATATAATATATATATATATAAATATTTATGTTAAACTCGACATCAAAACCTTAATTAATATCTTTCTCAATAAATATGATCAAGTAACTTGTCACAAAATTATCTTCCATCTTGTTACGTAGTTTAGTTTTGAAAAGAAATTATAATTGAAAATGTATATTTTTATGAGTAATGATAATCCATTTCAATAAGTGGTATTAAATTTTATTAACTTATTTTAAGAATGTCATACTGAAATAGATAATATTTTTATTTTCAGACAATATTCTTATTTCTAGATAATAAACAAACAAAAATGAATGCATAAGCAAACTATGTTACACAGACTCTTCAAAATAAATCAAATACCCGTGTTGGACACCCAACACTTAGACAAGGGTATGAGATATGTGTCGGATACTTTTCAACGGACACTTCTTATATAATTGTATATAATGCAATTATTAAATGTACATATTATTGTATAATTGCTATAAATGTCTTTTCGAAACTATAAGTTACATATAATACCATTTGATCTCACATATATGACTAAAACATAAAAGAAAAATATGACACTTTTTTAGCGAGTACGCGTACCCTTAAATTTATGGTTTGATGAGTCCAACCTTTAGATACATACCCACACCCGACACCCGCATCCGAGTCCATGTAACATAGAAAGCAAATTAAAGTGTGATTTATAAAAGAACAAAAAAAAAATGACATATGAACAAAAAATAAGAATAGTAACAAATAATACAGATAACAAATAGAATAGATCAATATTTGATAAAACTCAATTTAAAAATTATTTTTAAAATTTTGTAATGTAAATAATTTGGAGGGTACAAACTATTGAAATTTTGTAAATGCGAAGAACTCCAATTTATAATAATCTTACTAATTACTAGTACAATATATAATTTTTAGGGGCATTTACGTGCAAGTCTTAATAGGTGGACTTATTGTCCATTAAGTCTTGTGCGTTCTTTATCAAACACTATTAAAAAAAAGTCACTGATTGTTAATTTTCAACGACAATTTAAAAATTTTGTAATAAAAAAAGTAGCTAAGTTTCAACTTTTAGCAACAGTTTGAAAAAATTGTCACAAAAAAAAAAAATCAATAATTATAAGTTTTAGCGATAATTTATAAAATTCATGAAAAAAAAAGTCACTAATTGTCAAATTTTAGCAACATGCAAAAATCGTTACAAAAAATTATTTTTAACGACAATTTTATTAAGATTTATTTTAATAGAGTTTGATGAGAATTAATTCCAACTATTAATTTACTTTACTTTTAAAAAAAATTTGGAGTGCGACCACCATAACTCGCACCCCTAGATCCATCCTTGGTGAGTGGTCAGTACTTCTAAGAAACGGTTACTTTATTCTTCGATGACTTTTGTGTAGAACATTCAGTACATGAGAGAAGAAAAAGATGTTTCGGTAATTTGAGGAACAATTATTGTAAACTACGTTATTCTAGTGTTCTTTTATATATATAAAAACATTATTTTAATAATTTCAATAATATTATGATGATACTATTTTTTTAGGCAAATTTCACTTTATTTTTAAGTTTACTCTAAGGGCTATTTATTTTTTTTATTATTTGAAAGCAAACACATAATTGCTTGTGATTTGTAGAATAAATATTTTTTTAGACAAACCTCACTTTACTCATTGGTTTACTCTATGTCTGGTTTACCCTTGTCATTTATAAATAAGCACAAAACTCTTTATATTTTGTGAACTAAATTTTTTTTTTAGGTAAACTTCACTTTACTCTTGTGGTTTATTCCATGTGTGGTTTACCTACTGTCATTCATTTGGAACTAATCTTTATGATTTGTGATATAAAGTGTACTGTTAAATATGAAAGACATTATTAACAAGTGTAAAATACATTCCAAGACGTAAAAGGTAAACCACAAATAGAGTAAAACACAAGAAATATTAAAATGAATTTTGCCTTCTAAAACACTTACAAAATACCTGTGCTTTGGACAATGGCGTTACTTATGTACAAGTGTATTTTAGTCTTTTAGTTTACACTTTGGTCCACAAATCACAAAAGATTAGCTCCCAATGACAAAAGGTATGTTTCAAAACAACATTGGTAAGATTTTTTTTTTTTCTCTTTTGAATTTTTTCTTGAATATTTATAATGTAAAAACTGATTCCTTATCGATATAATAAAACATAAATATATAATGTAAGAAATGAATAGTTAATATTTTTATGCAAAATATATATATACACATTTATAAATATTTATTAGGAAAATTACATTTTATACCCCTCATCTATTGTTTTTTTTTTTCAATTTGGACCTTCATGACGAAAATATTTTTTCAACTATATCTACCACTCCATATCACTCTATCCCCACAATTAAAAAAATTGTTTAATTTTTAAGTTAAAATACAATATTTTATTTTATTTTATTTTTTTGTTAATTTTTTTCATACTTTAGTAAAAAAAATTTAATTTTTAGATGCACCTAAAAAGTAAATATTTGTGAAATATTTTTTAAAAATTCACTAAAGATGGAAAAAAAAAAAACTGGTATATTTTTGTATTTTTTGTCTTTAGTTAATTTTTTTTTAGAATTTTTCAAAAATATTTACTTTTTAGAAGCATCCAAAATAGATGTACCTAAAAATAAAAATAAAAAATTTAACTAAAACTGAAAAAAGTTCATTAAAAACAAAAAAAATAAATATGAAAAAAAAAATCAAAAATAGTTTTTAAAAACTAAACCAAACAGACTGATTATATCATTTTAGGCACTCCATTTGAGATGTCATGTATAAGTCATATGTCAAATTTTGATGTATTTAAGATACATATCCTTAACAAAATATTTACATTGATATAAATTTATAATTCGAAGTGATAAATATATTGTTTTTTAGTTGAGGGGGTCAAGTGAGATTGAAATGTAATTTATCCTATTGATGAGAGGGTATTTTCTTTATAAAAGTCCAAATTGAAAAAAATTAGTAGACGAGAAGAGTTAGGCGTTACAAATTTTAATTGAGTTGATATGGATAAAATGTAAATTTTTTTGGGGGTCAATTGATAGGAGAGTAACTATAAATATGATAAATATTTATATCATCAATCAGACTATTAAAATGTAATTTACCCATATTTGTTTGTATTTTTTTTAATTGTCGTGTGAGCATAACTTTAACATGTCACATATCCATGTCTATGGTTCTAAATATACCATATTAATTATTTGAAAAACAAAAACAAAAATCACACATGAAGTTTATCTCATATTTAGTAATGTTAACCAGAGTTTTCCTATAGAAATTTAGATCTTTTTATTGTATAATCACATTTTATGACACAGTATTAACTCTTTTTTTTTTTCTCCCTAGATTTCAATTTTCACATTTTTTTTTTTTAAATTTATTTACAGCAAATCTTATTAGAATGAAGAAACTATGAAAGTGGAACAATCAAAGTTTTGCAAAGAATAACTGAGATGCTTCCATGGATTCAGAACCCTGTCTTCATAATAATAATAGAATGACTACTTTTTCTTATAGAAAAAATTAAGAAAGAGAGAGAAGACCTTAAGCAAAGAAAGACGTGTGGACATACCTTGTGGGGGAAAAGAGATAGGAAGGTAGCATTGTGGTTTTCCATTGACTCTGAATACGGATTACTGCTATTGAGGAAGAGCCACTTGAGTTGTGGTAGTTTCCGAAGACGCAATTTCTTCAGTTGAGGGAACTTAATCTCGTCAGTCCCTCTGCAAAAGCCAATGAGCATTGGTAGATTCTCCAAGATCATGCATTCTAACACTGGAAACTCCATCTTGTTTGTTACATCATCTTCTCCTTTTTCCTTCCAGATAACTTCTTCCAATCTATCACAATTCATGATTTGAAGATGTTTTAGTTTTCCAGAAGTGCCGGTTGGAAGTTGGCAGTGACATATCTTTCTTAAATTGGGTAGATCAACGAGCTCTAATTTCTCCAGGATAGGAAAAATAGGAGGAATAGCATTAGGTGTATGCGGGACCCATTCCATTGTATTGACAAGATATTCTGGTGTAGCACAATCATAAATACGTAGTTCCTTCAAGTGTTGGAGTCCTTCAACTCCCTCTCGAAACAACTCTTGCACTGCATCTTTTGAACCCTCCCCCTGTAACTCTAGAACTGCACTACTCCTTAACAACGAATTGATCCCACCACATTCTAACGGGGTAGTACACGTGTCATGAAGTCTGAGAATAAAAAGCCTTCGGAACCTAGTTATGTATTCTTCAGAAAAAAAAGAGCTGGCATCATAACCTATGATAATTGAGTATTTTGTCAATTTGCTAAACAATGGGATTCTTGGCAAACACACGACGTCTTCTATAGTAATCTCTAAAGTATTCAAATTGGACAAGGATTCAAACTCTCTAAAGCTCGTATTTTCTCCTCCTTCCTTGCCTTCTCGTTCCCAAATGATTTCGCAGCCAGTCATGTACAACTCTTGTAATTGAACTAGGGCTGATATGACACCAGGTGCTATTCTTTTAAGTTTATGACAACTTGTCAGATCTAACAACTTTAAATTAACCAGTCCTCCTATTTCCTCAGGTAACTCCTCAATGTGGGATTGACGAAAGGTGAGGATTTCCAGATTCAATAGCTTTCCAATTACAGATATATTATCGAAATTCTGACTGTCATCAAGATGCAATGTCAACAGGTTTCTCAAGAATTGCAGTGATGACGGCAGTAACGAGATGTTTATCGGGATGCTCAGGTCCAAAACTTTGAGTTCCCCCATGCCCTCAAAAAAATTGCTTGGTATTTTTAGCAAACTATTCTGGCATCGTATTAGTAAAAACTCAAGTTTTGAGCATCTCAATCCTCCTGGAAACTCTTTAATTTCACTTGATATCACCGAAATGGAAGTGTTAAGCTCATATGTCGGCTTCTTTGGCCACTCTCTCGATTTGGCACCATGGATTATCACAAAACCATGCTTATCTTTAGCCGCAATTGATATGGCGACATCGCGCACTACATCGTGCATTTTTATTAGGAACTCGCGATGACCATCCAACAATAAATAACAACTTCTAAGTTGATCAACTAAGACATTCACTCGATCTCTTACTTCATCCACTTTGTCGATGCCTTCAAACCACCGCAATCCAATTCCGTATCTAACCAAATCCTCAATAGGAATTTCATAGTCTTCTGGAAACAAGCAACAGAGCAGAAACAGCTTCTTGGCTCTCTCATCTTGTAGAAAATTGTAACTAAAATATAGAGCTTGATACACTTTTGCAGGCACTTCTGACGACAAACTTTCTAAACAAGGGGTTCTTAGTTGTTGAAGCGCATTATTCCAATGATGTTGGTTGTGTTCATTTGTAAGAGCCCTTCCGATAGTTATGAGGGCAAGTGGTAAACCTCCACATTCATTTACAATCTGTTTTGCTAGTGGTAGCAGATCAAGGTCGTCTGCACAATTGCCTACCTTCTCTCTAAAGAGATGCCATGGTTCTTTACCCACTAGGACTTCAAGTTGGATATACCTTTTATTTTGTATTCCTTTCCACATATTTCGATTTCGTGTAGTGAAAAGGATCTTACAACTCTTGTTGCTGCCTCCTTCCAAAGGAAATCCCAACTTCTCTAGATCAAATTCTTCCCAGATGTCATCCAATGTGACAAGAATTTTCTTATTGTCTAGCAGAAGTCTCTTGCGTAGGAGACATGCTCTTGCTATCGGGCTCTCCCTGTCATCAAGTTTGAGACCCAACATGTCTGCAATGCACCCTTGAACCTTAGTTAGGTCTGGCTCTTGGCCGACAACTGCCATTGGAAATTCATTGAAGAGATTTTTGGTTCTTTTTGCAACTTCTTCTGCCATTGTTGTCTTGCCCATTCCGCCCATCCCACATATCCCAATCAAGTGGATCCCATCATCTTTCAAAGCCTCAATGATCTCGTTCATGACCAGAATTCGAGAATCAAACCCCTGGAATTTTGTTGTTGTAGGTATAGGTTCTATGCTTGGTGGTGGTGGATTGTAGGACGACTGAGTGTAGTTGCTACCCTCACCATGGAGAAGAGCAAGTTCTTGAGTCTTCTTCACGGCTTTCCTGCTCAGTGAGTAACGCAACTTGAGATTTGGACACCACCCATTGAAACACCCCTTTTGAACTTGGGCCTTGTCTTTAATAATTGTCTCTGCCTCTGCTGTGTTGTCATTGGCTTTAGTCAGCCATGCCTCAAGATGAGGTCCAACGGTTCTGACATTGTTGCGTGTTTCATCCACCCCTAGTTGAACCCCTTCTCTTGTTACTTTTAGGCTGTCCAATTGAGTCTCAAGATTTTGAATGTTGGCGTTGAAGCGAAACAGATAACCAAACTGTCGGCAGATCGGAGCAACCAAGTACTCTCCAATGCCCCCCAGAGCTTTCCCCAAACAGGAGAAACCAATTCCCTCAGCCATTTAAACTTGTTCTTCTGCTGATGCTGTTTTGGTTAAAGTAAAAAAAAAATCCACAAACAAATACGAGATGAATGAAAATTCAGTACATATCCACAAACCAATGCAAGAGATTGTGTAATTCTAATTCCAATTTGGGAGACACTTACGCTCTGTTTGGTTGGGAGATTTGAGGAGGGAATTGGAAAGGGAATGGGAAAAGTTAGGTAAAATGTGAATAAAATATACTTACATTTCACCTAGTTTCACACACTTTTTCCCTTTCCCTTTCCAAATCCCTCCCCAAATCCCCCAACCAAACACAGCATTAAAAAAAAGTCAGTTTAGTGGTTTTTTTTTAAATTTGTGCCAAAAATTTTACTTTTCACATCTCTCAAGTGTAGAAGGATTAAAAATAAAAAATAAAAAAAAAAGGAGTCATATATATATTGAAAAAATCAAAAAAAAAAAAAAAAAAAAAAAAAATCCCTAAAAACAAAAAAAAAAAAAAAAAACAAGTTTTTTTTTTTTTTTTAGTGGACTTTCTTTCAAAAATAAAAAATAAAAAATTGATCCATCTAGTCAAGTAGAATTTAAAAGTGTTAATCTTTGTACTAAACCAAAAAATTACTAAAAAAACAACCCCAAACACAAGATTGAAAGTTTATCTTCTTTTTTTTTTTTTTCTTTTTTTTCTAGGGTAAATTCACTCACGGCTCTTAAGGTTTGGAAAAAATACAATTATCTCTACACTTTTGACATAATTGCACCAATCTCTCTTGATGTTTTAATTCATTTAACACTTAGGGTGTATTTGTTTGGACGGACTGGATGAAGGGAATTGTAATCCATCGACTATTAGTCCTAGGATACATTATTCCCGGACTATTTGGTTGGACTGGATTTGTATCCTATGTTTGTTTAGTCATAGAATTAGATGTTTGAATTGGACTATTTTTAGTAAATCTAATGTTTGTTTGGAAAATTATGGAAAATGATAAATGCTCAAATGACTATTTTATCATTTTCAATTATTTACTAAGTAATAAGAATATTAAACATAGCTTTAATATTTTAATTATTTTTCTCATGGGATGAGTTATCGGGAGCATCTATTTACACACACCTCTCTCTATACACATCCTTCACACACAACTTCCCAACACACTCTCTCATTAAGTGTGTGGGAAGAGGGAATATGGTGTGTGCATATAAAAGCTCCCTAAGTTATCCCATGGTTTCTATCCCACCCCCCATGGGATAGGATAGTCCCACAAATATGGGACTAATAGTCCGGAGCAAAACTTTTGAAACAAACAATGGGCTATTAATCCGGTGGGATTAATAGTCCAATCTCATAGCCTAATCCTTTAAAACAAACACACCCTTAGGCCATGTTTGATTCACAACATTAATAGTGAGGTATTAATAATCCTATCAAATTAGTGTGGTATTAGCTATCCCACCCCTACCCCATTACTAATAATCCTACAAATTTGTTGGATTAATTATCCATTGGATTAATAATCCTAAACCAAAATGTCCAAACAAACATAGGATGATTGGGCCCACGGATTAATAATCCCAATCCCATACTTTAATCCTTCCAATCAAACATACCCTTAGGCCATGTTTGATTTCACAAGACTAATAGTGAGGGATTAATAATCCTATCAAATTAGTGTGGTATTCACAATCCCACCCCTACCCCATTATTAATAATCCTACAAATTTGTTGGATTAATTATCCATTGGATTAATAATCCTAAAACAAAATATCAAAACAAACATGGGATAATTGGGCCCACGGATTAATAATCTCAATCCCATGTTCTAATCCTTCCAATCAAACATGCCATTAGATCCTTTTTCATCATTAATTTGTGAGTCGTACAAATGAAAAATTGTGTTATCTCGTCTTTTCTTCTAAACTATATATTTATCTTTTTTTTTTTTATTTATGTGTCTATCCACTATGTGCATTAATGTTGATTACTTTAACTTTATTAGAAGAAAAGTTAGTACAATTAAGTTAAACTTATAAGATTAATTATATTTTTGTCAAATTTCGGAGGAAGTGAGCGTAATTTACTTTTTTTTTATTATTTTATTCATGTAACAAATTAGAATAACAACTACAAAATGGTGAAAAGAATGAGCGTCCTTAGCCAGAAGTAATACTATACCAACATGATTTTGTACCCCCCAAAAAAAAAATATAGAATGACAGGGTTTTTTTAGCATTAGCAGTGGAGGACAGGAATTTTAGTTAGAGGGGCCGCATTCAAATTCCACAATTAAATTTTACGATAATTCTATTTGTATATCATATAAGTTCTTAGTACATACTATAAATATTTTCGGATATAAATTTCTAAACAAATATCAAATATTCGGATTTAGATTTATTAACATAAAACTGTTGTTTGGATATAAATAATTTAATGGATTATATTCGAAGAATTTATTTTTGTTCATAACTTTAAATCTGAACATTTGATTTGTTTAGAAATTTATATTCGAACACATTTATAGTGTGTATTGAGAGTTTGTATAGTGTGTAAATAGAATTTTCCTAAATTTTAATTCTTTTATTAATAGCTAAATCATCATACATAAGTATATCAAAAGATACACATTTATAGCTCTATAAAATAAAAATAAAAGATACACTTTTATAACTATACAAAATAAGAATATTATTCATTCGAATAAGGGCGGTTCAATAAGAGGTTTGATGCAAAATCTCAATGAGCATCCTTTTCTTACATTTAAATTATTATAAATTTTTAATGTAAAATACATGTTCCTCTCCAACTTTTATACTTAATCTTGAGATTATTCACGATCTTTATTATTATTTGGGGAAAAAATGAATCTTTTAATTGGATTTTTGGAGAATGATTTTTTTTTTTTAAAGCTTTATTATTGAGTGTCTTTAGAAAATAAGAATTTTAAGTTTTACTATTAAAGATCTTTTGAAGAAGGAGGAATTTTATCATACTTTTATTATTGGAATAATCATTTTTGACTTTTCACACGTTGTTTCACACTAATAATTATTTATCACCCCTCGTATAGTTATAGTTAAATAAAATATGAGCATAAAAAATTGCATACCTCACTATATAAATAAATCACAATAAAATTACAACATAAAAATATCTTACAAAACACTCAAAACTTTTCTTCAGATTTAATTTTCAATTACAATAAAAATTATTAACATAAAATAATAATTATTTTATTATTTAAAATTTTTTGAAAATATATGAACTTGTGGGGCCACCTCTCACGTGGATGATGGGCATCTCTTCTTACTTCACCAGTTGGCAGCAATATAACATAAATTAATAGAGTTTGTGAAAGTTTCGCAGGGGCCAGCCCCCTTCCGTCCACAAGGAGTAATATCATATCATTCTAAACATATTTTATGTATAAAAATTATGTTTGTAAGCATATGACAATTAAGAGTCATCAATGGATTGGACTAAATTTACCTAAACCGTAATTATTGTGTTCAAATTTCATATTTTAATGAGTTTTTTAAATTTTAACTAGCCAATGGATTGTTATGTATCAGACCTATTTAAAAAATCAAATTCACGTCTCACTCATAAGTCCAAATTTGACAAGTCAAAATCAAACCGATCTAGGCTACACATTTTTCATTACATTCTTTTTATATATTTTCATTAGTTATTTTTCTTATTTATTTTCCAACATAATTCAAGTATTTTAATTTTTTTTTTTTAGTTTTATTATGTGTATTTCTTAATTTTTAAAATCATAAAATTGACAAATTTATACTCTCTCCATCCCAAAATATTAGTCCATTTTCAAAAATCAAGTACAAAAATAATATAAATTTCTTATTTTGCCCTTCTTTTAAATTCATTAACAACATAAAAAGTATAATTATGACATTGATATGTCCCAAAAAATGTACTATCAAATGGTAATTTTGGAAGATCAATTTTTTTAATGTGCAATAATTGTACTATCAAAAAAAGTTGAATTCACCCAAATGGACCATTATTTTGGGACGGAGGGAATATAGTTTTGGAGCTTTCTTAATTTTTCTTTTTGAATTTTTATGAGAGAATAGATTTTGACAAATACCAATTACTGTAGGGTTACACCAAAGATCAACCTTAAGTCCTTATCTTTTTTTCTTTTTTTTTAGTTATAGATGAGTTGTCGAGAAATATTCAAGATGATGTGTCATGTTGTATGCTTTTTGCAGATGATATAGTGTTAGTGGATGAGACTAGAGAAAGAGTTAATACTAAGTTGGAAATTTGGAGAGAAACACTTGAATCTAAAAGATTTAGGATAAGTAGAATTAAGACAAAGTACATGGAGTACAATTTTAGCTACAGTAACAATAAAAACAGAGGAAAAGTGAAGATTGAGAACCAAGCACTACCTAAGAGTGAACATTTTTATAATTTTTGATCGATTATTATAACGACTGTGTGTAGACACTCCATTTTTGACCGTCCTTAAGACTTAGACGTCATCGTTTGAACACTCAACGATCATCCATGTTTGTGTTCGTTTTGAGTTTTCGGAAGTCTCAGCCGCGCGCCTTGCCTCAAGATCTCTCAACTTGCATGTTTTGTGCTTGGTTGTGAACCAAACACTTGTGTTTTTGCTTCTGAGGGAAGAGGGTGGCTTGTTTGTCATTCTCTCAACCCACCGGCCAAGGCTTGAGGCCATCGGCCATGATTTCTTTCCATTGGCCAAAAGTGTTGGCCGATCGGCACTTGATTTAGTCGGCCGGCCATTGTGTTGGTCGATCGGCCATTTATGCTGGCCGAACCCTGTTCATCTGCTTTATGCAGATATTTTATGCCAGTTGGATTAGCTGGCATGCACATTTGCTCCCCTCCATACACGTGTATGGAGGGATTTGCCTCTTGGTTTAGCTTGCTTTGGAAGCTTTGCTATTGAGCTTCTATAAAGAGAGAGCTCCTCCTCCCTCCTGAAGGGTTCAGAAATTAGGGTTAGGATTTTGGTATCTATCTATCTCTATATTTCCCTC